CGGAAGTGACGTTTTGAAATTTTAGACAACATTCTGATAGAGTTTAGTAACTTCTAGTATCTCTGAAAATTTGAGCGAAATCAATTGAGAAATGAGTGAGATAAGAGTCTTCATAGTTGGCGTCTAGGAAGTAAAAGAAAAAAGAATAATAATCTTTACCAACAGAATCAGTACAAGGTCTTCCATTGGAAACGGAAGACCTTAATAAAAGCAAACCAGAAAACAAAAATAAAATTAATACATGTGATATTATATAAATACTTGTACTTTATTTATGAATGTAGAATACATAGATGATTTTCGTCATCAGTAAAGTTCATCAAATTCTCATCTTTTCTGTGACTTGCTCTAATACTAGTATACTATATAGTATACGGTATATCACAGAATAGTGTTAGGAAGATTCGAGGCAATATGCATACTATTACAGATACATACATGTATAGTTTTGATGTGTTTTACCTTATGTTCTTGTACACTTTCCCTTTGAATACTAGTAATCATTCATCATAGGTTTTCTTATGTCCTTGATCAAAAGATCCCGGGGGTATATTTTTGGTCCTGTCTGTCTGTTTGTCTGTTAAGCTGTTTGTCCCTCTGCCTGTCTATTGTCAACTTTAACCTAGCCCATAACTATTGAGTGGGTTGTGCAATGGCTTTCATATTTCACAGCTGTATTCTTTGTTACAAAACCTTTCTTTGGGCACCACCAAATTTGACCTCTTGACCTTGACCTTTCAGCATGCATTTGAGAGAATTCAACCCTCGCTATAAGCTGCCATACGGGGGCATCTGTGTTTCAGAAACACTTCTTTTTTTTTTTTTTTTTTTTGTACTTCCCATGATTTTCAATTAAAATCTTTAGTGTATAAAAGGACAATTACTAACATATAAATGTTAAATTGTTCTCTTTCTTTATCTTAAAATATCCAATATTTTCATTTTTAATATCTCCTATTACATGTAAAGGCCTAAAACAGTGTACTGAATTCGAATGACATGAGGACACAATATGCATTGATTGGTTGTAAATTAGCCTTGAGTTTTTAATGGAGGAAAAATTACAAAAAGTAAATAGTGGACAGGAACCTTACTTGAAGTTAACCATATGAATAAAATAGCATTTTTGGAGTAGCACCATAGGTTGAGTTCTGTTTAAAAAAAAAGAGGGGAAGTATCGTCACTGCTTGAGTTTTGTAAATAAAATAAATAAATAAAATATATATTGCTTTTGTTTTGTTAAAAAAGCATGGTTTATAATTAACAATGTTTATTTTTTAACTTAAATGTCTTATACAAATTGTTTCGATTATTTCTATTTACTAGTTATTAGTATTTCAATAGTGGTCAACTTCTTGAGTATATTTTATATATAAAAAAGAATGAAAAGATTATTAAGTATACTGAAAAGAGACTGATAGAAATCTATTTATGGCAACTAATTACATGTAATGGATATATATATATATATATATATATATATATATATATATATATATATATATATATATATATATATATATATATATATATATATATATATATATATATATATATATATATATATATATATATATATATATATTTAAACAACAGAGCTAGAGGGATCAAAATATTTTTCATATTGTCCTAAAAACAAAACATTGAAACGGCTGATTTAATTTGAAAACATTAACCTGTTTCCCCCCTGCGAGGTATCATTAAATCAAACGCTAATATGTTTTAATTTTTGCTAATAAGATAACATCTGGTGTTTGCTGGTTTTAAAGGGTGACCGGGAGTTCAACTATCTTTTTACGTGTATATCATGACATTAAAGTATGTTGTGTGATGGTCTGTAACAATTCCATTCTCAAAGTATGAAAAAACTAGAGATACTATGAGCAATAAGCTTAATAAATGATACCCCGTCTCCCATATGGTTATAAAAGCGAAGTCCGTGTTTTGCTCTGAGAGACCCGAAATAAGTATCACATCAAAAAGTAAAATAGGAGGTGTACAATGACAGTATAAAATATGGACAATCTGTGAAAGTATTAATAAATTTTATTCAGCGGTATAGGAGGAGTTGCAGATACAAGAGATGGGTACCCTTCAATATTATATAAAAAATGGCCGAGCTCATGTTTTGCTCTGGAAAATAAAAAATATGTGTCCGATCAAAATCTAAAATAGGAGATGCACAATGGCACTATATAACAAAGATTCTGTGAAAGGCTAAATAAATTTCATTCAGTGATAAAAGAGGAGTTGCAGATAAGAGATAGGTACCCCAAAGCGCAACGTACGGACAGACATCTCGGTCATTATGTACCGCTTTTCAAGCGATGGAAGTAAAAATCTCTTGCAGATTAAATGGCACCAAAAAGCGGAGCATCCCTCAACAAGAGCAGTCTTTTCCTAGCTAGCTGCTTGGTAACAAACTAAACAACCGCGTCAAAACATATTTATAATGTGAAATATCAAATTTTTTTAGATTATTTTTTTATTTATTATTTTGATCAGTATTATTATTTTTCAGATTTTATTGTCATTGATTTTTTTACCGCCCCTATCGATGAATTAGTAGATTTATGTAGAAATTGAGTATATTTATTTTACTATTTGTAATTTTATCTCGGACAAAGACACTGGAAATATTAAATATTAAACTGATTAAACCTAAAAGCTAGAATTTAAGTGCAAAAAGGGCTAGTTCATTTCACTATTGCTTATAAGATGCGACTCCAGGGTTTGTTTTTATACCCCCCGCTTGAAAAGCGGGAGGGTATATAGTAATCGGTAATTCCGTCCGTCCGTCCGTCCGTCCGTCCGTCTGTACGTCCGTCCGTCTGTCTGTCCGTCTGTCCGTCTGTTACGCTTTGGGATACCCATCTCTTATCCGTAACTCCTCTCATACCACTGAATGAAATTTGATGAAACTTTCACAGAATCCTTATTACATACTGCCATTGTGCACCTCCTATTTTACTTTTTGATCCGACACATATTTTGGGTTTCCCGGCCACAGGAAAACATGGACTTTTTCACCAGTTATAACCATATGGGAGGCGGGGGGTATCATTTAGTGAGCTCATCGCTCACAGTACCTCTAGTTTTGTTTTTAGATTTTTGTTTTGTTTTGTTTTGTTTTTTTTTTTTGCGATTTTGAGTCATGTTACCGTATATGAGTACTTACCTAAACTAGAGGTACTGTGAGCAATGAGCTCACTAAATGATACCCCCCGCCTCCCATATTGTCGAATGTTTGCTATATATTGTTTTACGGTAATGTGTAAAGAGGAATAACTCGTCGTATCAAATGTTATTCAGAAGCCGCAATATGTGACGTCATAGGTAAGAATATAATGGCAATGTCCATGGGAAACCTAGAATACGTGTTGAATAAGAAAGTAAAATAGGAGGTGCACAATGGCAATATGTAATAAAGATTCTGTGAGTTTCATTAAATTTCACTCAGTAGTATAAGAGGAGTTGCGGATAAGAGATGGGTACCCCTAAGCGTAACAGACGGACGGACGGACGTACAGACAGACGGACGGACATAACGATTACTATATACCCTCCCACTTTTCAAGCGGAGGCTATAAATATACCTCACGATAAATCTTTGATTTAACGAATTTTTCGTGTGACATACATAAAGATAGATTTGATCATAAACTATGTAGTTACATGTACATGTATTGCAATAAATCAAACTGAACGAATAATGTACAGGGTACGATGCTTAAAAATACTGATGGACATTGATATCTCGTTTATATAGAGGTGGAAGGACTTCGTGCAGATAAAGATTTCTGTGAAGGATCTTCTCAGGGAAAGAGGAGAGACAGAGATAATGAAGGTTGATTGTGTGGTTAAAACAATGGAACAATGGGAAGAAGGCTGAGATGTACCAGGGAAGAGAAAGTTACAATCGCGTTTGAACATTGTCTCACTTTTTTAATGCAAAACAAATTGTCCTTGTGATGTTGAACAGCATCTATAGGTGATTTACATGTATCATGACATAAGAGATATTGTAAAAACACTGAATAAATTGTAAGCTTTAAATGTTTATTACAACATTAAATAAATTCAGCTCGAAAAATAAGTAGAGCTTAAAAAAAATCTTAGTTACAATGTTTTGATTTTATTTATGATAAATCACATTACAAGAAGGGTTCTACTAGCACACATTTGAATCAATTTTAAAGTTGGAATTTGAGTCTGTACATTTTATTATGCCTATATCACAGTATCTATAGAACAAAAATATTTCAGAAATACTAGTATATTTTTCTTACAAATGGCCAAATATAACATCTGAGAGGTAGCATATTACAGTCATTCTAATATATCTGACAAAGTGAAACTTTATATAATTTTTAGAAAAATCAAAGTGCTGTAAAGTGCTGAGAAATTTAGGGGATAAAGATTCACATAAAATCATAAAAAAACTAAGCAAAAAATGAATTAAATTTAATAACTTTGCCAAAATATTCACGCAATATGTATTCCAAAGTTTAAATAAAATGGCTTTGGCCATATTAACCTTTATTTTTTAAACGTTATAAAACTCTTAAGTTTGCTGATGCCGGATCATTATACCTGGTTCAAAAGAATGTGAGCTTCATCAACTCTCTCAATTGCAAATTTCTTTCCAACCAAGATGTATGCTAACCGAATATATACTTACATATGCAAAGTAATAAAGTAAATAAAGAGTGGGTAAACTTGTAAATAATCTACAGAGTTGCTATGGGTATACCTTAAAGATATCTAATCTTAATGATGTCCTGAAATAGCACCAGAAGTTTGAAATACTTCTCTTTCTATGCTTTTCATTAAATAAAAAATAATAATTTACTAATCATAGTTCATGATCTTACCATCAAAAAATTAATACATGAAATGAAAGAAAATAAATACTAAAAGATATTGTTTTCTCATAGAGTTTAAAAAAAAACTTTTGATACCAGATCATTCAATCAACAGTCAAACATTTTAACCAAACATTTTCACTATAGACTGAAGGAATTAATTATCTCTAAATTTTAATTTTTTGTATGAGATTAATAGCAGGAAATAATAGAACCATAATTACATTGTATATAAATAATACACTCCGAGACAATGCCAGTAATTATACCCGAGAAAGAATCAATTTAAAATTCCTTACTGGGTTTAGAGATTCTTTATAAAAAAAATATCCTAAAGATTTGAATTGAATATATTCATAAATATTACACATCAGGTGTTTCAATACAAAATAATCACTAGCCAATGAGACAAAAGTTGGTGTACAGAATAACTTCTACACAGTATACATATAACTCTTAGAACCAGCTCTTTGTTAACTCTTGGAAGAAGTCTTCTGTATGGACTGATTAACAATATCCCTCATGTAAGTTATAGTCTCTTTTGGATTGTCACTGTTGATAATAGCACTCCCTGATACAATCATTGTAGCACCAGCCTGAAATAGATATTAAATGAAGTTAAATTTATTCAGCTAACTAGTAAAATATTGTACATGCATTGCTCAAGCTTATTAATACATTTTAAACCAACTTTTATTCTTGAAATCTGTTATGCCAATTTTGAGACTGAGGAACATAAGTTCATGTATACAAGTAAATCACTGATTTGCAGTGAGAAATATTTGTGAGCTAAAGAAATTTGTGAAACTCATGAACATTTCTCACATGAGTAAAAGTATGCTTTCAGTATATGTCAAATGATCATCACCATTATCCATTGATGAAAATGTGACTCAGCACTTGCTTTAATTTTACATGTATGTTACTTACATCAGCACAATACTGAATTGTTGATGGTCCGACACCCCCATCTACCTCAATCTCCAAATCGCTGTACCTCTCTCTCAGAAAAGAAACCTGTTTGTAGATTAACAAGAATGCTTTCATTTTAAAAATCAAGGTTTATAAGATTTCTCGCATTTCATGTTGTTCATCGGATCATAGATACAGATATGACAATCTTTATTTTTATATATACATGTATACACTGTGTTTAATGTGTTATTATCTATTTTGCCAAAAATAAACAACAGTCTTTAAAGTTGAGGCAAAATCTTCAAATCTGTGACATATAGAAAACTCCTATTTTTTGTAACAATACCTTTGGCATCATGTCTGCCATAAACTTCTGGCCTCCAAATCCTGGTTCCACTGTCATTATAAGAGCCATATCTACTAGGTCTATTAATGGCACTAACACATCCACTGCTGTCTTTGGTTTTATACCAACACCAACCTTAATGAAAGGAAATTACAATGTTAGTCCATGACTTTGTCATGTTAAACTCAATATAACTGTTTGTGTTTTTTTTAATTATAAAACTGCATAATTAACTTATTTAAAAATAAAGAAATTAAGCTTGTTTTATCAAAATACCCTGAATGGATTTTTGCAGTGATTTATTAGAATTTTCTTGAACTTGTTTCTTTCTGAAGACTCGCGTCGATAAGGACTCATCTTTACAAAGCCTAATAACTTGCAAATTTAAAAGAGTGCACCAGATGCCCCCCCCCCCCCCCCCCTCTAAAATTGACAAATATAAGAACAAGATCAATTACATGTATTTTTCAATTTTGAAAAAGATATGAATTTTTGGATAAGAGTATATACATGCATTTAAAAAAATTGCTTCCATGAAAAAGGTTTTGGGGGCTTGATTCTTTCCATTGACCTAAAATATCAGTTGTTTATCATGGTTTATCACTACTATCACTAATTATGAAAACAAGAAATAGAAGAATATCTATAGAAAACTTGAGAGGTTTTTTTTCGAACCCACTAGAGTCTCAAGTTACTGTAACCCAGAGCCCCTGTCTTATGACCCCCTTCCCCCCTAAGTAAAAGTATTTGATAAAATATTCTATTAATGTGTTTATTATCATAATCAAAACCTTAATCTGTATCTGATATACACCACTTTTAAAGAGATGGGATTAAAAAAAAATTCTAGTTTTCAATTGCAGTTATTTGACCTTCATTCCAGCTTCTCTGATCTTCCTTATACATCCAGTAGGATCATCTGTTGCCTCATAATGGAATGTGTACTGATTTGCTCCTGCATCTGCCATATTCTGAACCCACTGTAAAGTAAATTTGAATAGGAATTTGTCCTGTTTAATACCAGATTATTCATGAATGTAATTTTATGTACTTTTTTAGCCAGGCATGAGAATATATAATTGAAAATTTCCTACTGTTATTCAGGGTGTGGACTGAAGTAAATATCACCATGGTTTAATATTATTGCGTGGACCCTGAGGTCCACACAGTAAATATATAAGCGAGGTTAAACCGGATGCCCTGGGCATACGCTAGGCTACGCATGCGCGAGAATTCTCGAGAGTCCCAATCGATAATCCTCGGCTGACTCCGATACACCAATCGCAACTTCTCGGGCCTTTCCGACCTCTGACAGAAAAGCCTGAGTTGATGCGATTATGAGTTCAGAGTTAAAATATACAGGAATACAGCTTGAAAAAAGTTCTACATGTGATTAGAGGGGGGGGGGGGTCCGAAAAAAATCTGCGTACTACAGAGCTGTGCTACACGCGTACCGTCAGATTTGATTTTTTTTATGTTAGATTTCTTCCAAATAAATATAGAATACTAGTATATGTAAAGTCCCAGACATTATGTGTAATATGTATCAAAATTTTAAAATGACAAAACTAAATGCCATGCAATCGGAGGTAAAATTTAACAATTTTACTAGCTTTCGGACTTCTGACACAAAGACACGAGTTGATGCGATTAAGAGTTAAGATTTAAAATATACAGGAATCCAAATACAACTTGATACAAGTTTTCCATGTGAGTGAAGGGGTTCCGAAAAAAAAAATCTGCATACTACAGAGCTGTGCTACACGCGTACTGTAAGATCTAATTTTCCAATGCAAGATTTCTTCTGAATAAATATAGAATGCTAGTATATTTTCAGTCCCAGACATTATGAGTTATGAGTTATATAACATTATGAGTTATATGTATCAAAATTTTAAAATGACAAAACTATATATGCCCATCGGAGATAAAATTTAACAATTTTGCTATGAAAGTGTATCAGTCAAAGTAGGCAGATCATTGTAGAAAATGGGAACAAACCTACATTAATATCCAACAAACTTTAAAATTTTCTTAATTGAATTTCGGTTCGAAACAAATGCATATGGTCCACGTATTGTAGTCCTTTTTTGAAAGGACAGCAACTTGTATGATACTATAAGCATCATCTGATCTAAACACAAAACACATAATGTTGACCCCGATTACCAAACACAGACTTCCTGTGTAATGTTACATATACACATATTTTTGACATCTTGAGTATTGGGGGTCTTCAGGTAAATAACACCACTTTTTTTCCTAGACCACTCCCCCTCCTCAGGTAAACGTACGGTAAAAAAAAATGGGTCTTTAAGATGCATACAGCAGGGTTCGACATTCGCGCTCGTCACCTCGTCATTTCCACCCTGAAATGATTTCGGACGACCTGATTTTCAGTCTGGCTCGCCCAAATGACAACCTGGGACAAGTTGGGAATATTTAAGCCTAATAACGATGATTAATATTTTAAACTAAACTTCATAAGACCTTCAAAACATCAGCCGAGTAGATTTTTTTCCTGCCAAATCTTCGTTCAATCAATCAGCTGATGCAATTTTTACTGAAAGTCTTGAATAAAGTTTTATTTGAGATATAAAATATGTCAACTTAGTCAACAATCACCTTAAATATAAATAGTAATAATCATCATTGTAACATTTTGCATTTCCCCTACAACTTTCTGATTATAATGATCGTTTTCTGCTGCTAGACAGCCATGTTGGGTGTCCACTGTAATATAACACCTGATTAATTCAGTCCAGGGTTATTTGACCCAATTTGTTTAGGCCTTCATGGCAAGTGAAAATGAATATTTTAAGCTACAAACTTTAGCATTCTGCATGTCTGATTCTGCTTATATTTTTGTTTAATAAAATACTAGAAGACATCTTTACATTCCAAAAATGTCTGGGTTTACATTTTTTAATACAAAAACACAACTTCTACTAATTATCATAACAAATTTTAAACAATTTTCACATTAAGTTTTGTTTCTATTGATATTTTATTTGGACGACCTGAAATTCATTCGGGCAACCTGTGATCAAACCAAGGTTGCCCGAATGGCGAGACCAAATTTTGACGAGTGTCGGACCCTGATACAGTACAATATTTATGAGGAAACTGTGTATGTCATGCTAGTAAAATATAAGTGGATACATCCTAACGTGATGTCACCTTCCTTGTCACTTAATACATCTAGGCCTACATGTGGTAAAGTGTAGATTACAAAATAGTGTCGGTTCAATTTAATAAATGATGACTCAACTAGGCTATGATATGATAAAGCACCCTCTCACTGTTGACCATTTTTCTTTATAAAGACCTCACTGCTGATGAATAAAACAAAAGGAATGAAGAAAAAAACACTCACCTGCTCTGGGTTTTGAACCATCATATGCATATCGAAAAACACTCCGGGCACCTTTGGTCGAAGGCATTTAACAACAGGGTGTCCAAACGTTAAGTTGGGGACGAAATGCCCATCCATAACATCGAGATGCAGATAGTCTGCACCACTGTCCATCAGTCTCTGACATTCTGAAGCTAACTTAGATAGATCTGAATTAAGAATTGATGGACCAATTCTACACTGCTTTCCACCACAGGGGGCTGACATCTTGAATTGGATTTGACGAAGGCCGAACCCGATTATTTTAATAAATTATTATTATTACACATTATTCATCTATTCGTTTTTATTTACTCACTGCATTCAACAAGGACAGAAAATTTGATAAATTATAATTTTATAGAAAATTTTACATTCATATAATCAATATTTTTTTAATGGTGCCTGTCAAAAAATGTGAACATTCTCCCAACTAAAAATCCACAACTTTATGTTCGTATTTATAACTTATTTATCGTTAAAATTTTCGTTCTTTTCCTCTTTTTTAAAAAAATTTATTTATTATTAGAGAGAGAGGGGCTAATAATTTTTTTTGATTGGAAAGTAAATTGATATGTACGTGCACATAGGAGAAAAAAAATGTATACATGTATACCTGGATGTAGTCTAATGTACGTATCTAATCATTAATTTTTATTCATTTAGTTTATTTATAATCCATTCTTTCATTTTTTTGTGTTAAAAAAATCAGTCGACTGCAGTATATTAATTAATTACATGAACCAAAGCATGCAAACATGGTGAGATCAATACGAAATGTCGCAGATACATCTACTGTATGTGCCAGTGAAATGCTTCGAAACCCCGCCATCCCCAGCACGCAGGCACAGAAAGATTATTTCTGATGTGATATGCATTAGCTCACAATGAAGAAGTCTGTTAAATATATGTATGTACTCTTTTAATGATTCTTTGAAATATAAAAGCTGCAGTTCAAGGCAATGGGACGAATTTTCGCTCCACTGACTGGGTAATTCATAATTTCTTATTATGAATTAAACTTAGAATCAAGTTGAAAAAAGGTCAACTTTTTCATTTAGATAATATTTTTCAAGTAAAAATAGTAAAATTAAATTTTTTTCCAGAGTAGAATCTTAATGTTTTTGTATATCAAAGAATTGCCTTTACTTAATAATTTTGTCCATCTTGCTGGAGATTTCTTCGTGTTTCTCCATCGAAGCATATATAGCACATGTACGGAAAAACGTCTGAACATCAGAAGAGATAGCATAAGTAAATTCTGACAAATTGAAGCACTAGATATGGAGTTTATTATTCCATCTTAAATAATATAAAAATACAAACACTAATGCACAAGAAAAACTGAACTTAATTTAAATTAAGATAAATTTAATCAATCAAACTTTTCATATAAAAAAAAAACTAAACATTTTTTTTGTTATTTCGGACGAGCTGAGTTTGATCCATTGTATAATTTTTCTTGAAATAAGATTTTTTTACTCAACAGCAAAATTCATTAATATAAAGAAACTGATACTTAATAAAGGTCATATATACTTTTTGATATACTAGTATTATTTTTCTCTCTTCACTACAGGTTTACATTCTGATATTTTTTATATAATTATTTTCAGATTTTCTATTTTTCCCCACAGTATCACATTTGTATATTTTGACTACCGGTATTGGCAAAAAATTATATTCATTATATGTATATGCATACTTGTATATTCAAAATTCAATTTCATATAAAATAAAATAATTATATCAATTTCTTCAATTAATCATATACACTTAAATCATATGCATAAACAATGCCAGATATACTAGTATATAGATCTATTTAAAATCTCGTAAATACTAAATATACATAAAATCTGTTACAGAGGATCATTAATACTTGACCAAAAAACAGAGAATTTCAAGATTAAATGGCAATAGAAACGCATGGGTGGTGTTTGCAACGGTGCGATACCACATCGTGGCCGCTTAAAAAATGAATTGACTGATGTATGCAGAATTTGATTGAAAATCCAGACTTGAGACAGCCCCCTTATAACTATAAACCAAGCACCGAATTCTTTGATGTTCGTGCGAAACAGAAAATTCTATGAAATCTGATCACCATTCTAAGGGGAATCAGCCGGAATGAAGATCCCAGAGGGTCGAATTTTACCGTCTTTCCTCGGGGAAGACAGGCTCTACAGATCTGAGGGGGTGATAGTTTGATCGTTTTGATATCGATGAGGAGGTGTTAATTAGCGTTAAATTAAGCCTTCTTTACGATTTAGGACCAGACATGTACAATAAAATATATAAAATAAAAATCCTTAAATCTTCCCAAAAAAATTGTCACTTTTTACTCCGGTCTACATCTATTATTTTTAGTATTGTGTAGCTATACCAACTGAAAAAATGTCCATAAATAATAATTTTTAAGACCTTGGATTCTTTTTGTGTAGAATAATCTAAATACTTTGCAGTCGAATTTACTTTTTATTGAATTTTGGAAGTCACTTAAACCACCTTAATGTTCGCGTTTCTGATTATTGCTTTGCATCATAGTTACATACAAATCCCTCATTTTTTTTCTTTTTTCAGGTAAGAATGTATGCAGATCGCTGAAATATTGACTATAAAAATAGAATGTTCAAGATATTCTCTGTAAATAATATTGATAACAAAATAAATTTGTTTTTCTTTTAGAAGATTTGACTTATTTAAAAATATTTGTTCATTAAATTATTCTAATCATAATAACAAATTTGTGCGATGATTCTGATACATGTATATATCGTTTTGCATAACGGTGAATCAGGGACACTATAGATTTACGACTTCATTGTACCGAGTATTTCCCGTTGCGCCGGACATCATCAAGACTAATTTTCCAGCTGTTATGATAACAGCCATCAGACAGATATACGATCGGTTGTATATTTCCCAACAAATCCGAAACCGCATAATTTTCTATGATTGCTTTGCATCTCTTTAGATTTTTTTTTAAATAGTCTTATATAAATTATTGTACAAAAAATAATTTAAAAAGAAATCACACATTATAAGGTAAATGAAATCAATATCAGCACTTGGCTTTTTTTTTACCCTTTTGCTTCTGATAGTTTACCTTGGCATACATACATGTATGCAAAAGAAGCTGCAACTGCATCATGCTGATTTTACGAGACACGTGCAGTCGTAAAACTAGCACTTTTGAAACGCTTAAAAATGTTGCATGCGCAGATTAACAAATCTCTTTTTACTTTTGCTATTTTAAAAATTCGTCTCCATGTTTATATTTCGGATAACTTTACCACACGCAATCGGGATGGGTTTCCTGACTGTCTGCGCGCGGAGCAATACAGGTGATAGTCCGTCATTTGCACGTGCAACGACTGCACGTGCATCTAATTTTAATAAAAGATTTATAGCTTCTTTAATGATATTATAAACCTATGTTTACGACCTTTGGTTATAAACACACGTGGTTGCCAAAAGTCTTTTATAAGTTGGATTTCACTCTGCCCAGCCTAGAATGATCCTCAAACAATGCAGCATTTGTTGAAGAATTCTTTTCCGATCACGTACATCATGAGTAAAATTCAATTCAAGAGTCAAATTGAAGAGAAGAAAGATGCTGAAAAAATAAGTCAATTCATTTAAACAAAATGAAATTAATTGATGTTAAAATAGCCACATGTTTCCTTTATATCAATTCATAGACTTTTTTCAATTGGTATATTCATGACGATATGAATTTCTCGACT